GGGGGGAGTGCTTGTACGTGGAGGGGGGGGGGGGGGGGGGCCTCTGCAACTTACCTGGCTGCTTCCTGCTCCTCGTGGCCTGATTGAGGGCTGCTGGGAGCAGGGGGCGGGGCTTGTGGCATGTGCCCGCCCCCTGGGCTCCTTACTGCCAGAGTTCCACTCCTGTGCGCTCCCGCAGGAAATGACCCCTGGCCTAAGCCTTGGGAGTCCCAGGTTCAGATCTCTCCCCAGCACTGAAGGCCACTGGGTGACCTTGCACCGGTCGCTTTCCCTCAGCCTGACATACTTTGCAGGGTTGTTGTGGGGGCTAGCCGGTGTAGGCTCTTTCCTGCTCCTTGGCAGGAGGAAAAAAAGGGATAACTAAACATCAGGCGCCTTTGAAGAGCGACATTCTAGTTTCCTAGAAAAGCAGTATGTTGCAGAGTGTACCTCCGGATGCCTTAATGTAAGTGTGATAGGTTTTCCACGACACGGAGCCTTCTTGCTTCTGCTCCTTCTGAACGAGCTGGTTGGCAGGGGCTGCAGCGGAGAAAACGCCCGAGTATTTATTCACGCCGAAAATGTTATCTGGGAGCCAACAAATCTCATGCATTTTAAGCAAAATTGGACGTCGCTCGAGCCTATCCACTCAAATAAACATCCGAGGCTTCGCGGGAGCCTCGGCAGAATCTATTCCCACCGCCAGCCTCCCCCGGATGAGACCATATGGTAAATGCTCCCCCTGGTATTCTAATGGCTGCTGAATGAATCAGGATCCGTGAGCGGAATTAAAAGGCAGGAGGGCATTGATTGGCTAGAACGTGATCAATATCCTGCCGCTCGGAATGCAGAATCTTACTGATGTACCTGTCCTCCTTGCTAATGGTATATAAAGTGAAATATAAAGTCAAGGGGGGCGGACAGGCGATGGGACCGGTTTCTGCTCCTCACAAGGCTGTTTTATCACCCAACTGCTTAAGTTCATGGTTCGTCCCGAAATGGGGACATTGTGGTCCACAGGCCAGCGTGGCAGAGTGGTTACAGCTTTGGACTAGGACCTGCCAGAACCAGAATAAAACTCCCACTCTGCCATGGAAGAGCACCAGGTGACCTTGGGCCAGTCACGCTCTCTTCCAGCCTATCTCACAGGGTTATCGTAGTATGGATAAAATGAAGGACAATGGTGAGGGGAGGAGGGGGAGGAAGAAGGAGGAGGAGGAGGAGGAGGAGATTGGATTTATACCCTGCCCTTCACTACCCAAAGGAGTCTCAGAGCACCTTACAATCTGCTTTCCCTTCCCCTCCCCACAACAGACACCCTGTGAGGTAGGCGGGGCTGAGAGAGCTCTTTCGAGAACTGCTCTTTTGAGAACAGCTCTGAGAGAACTTGTGACTGACCCAAGGTCACACGAGCAGCTGCATGTGGAGGAGTGGGGAATCAAACCCGGTTCTCCCAGATTAGAGTCTGCACTCCTAACCACTACACCAAACTGGCTCTCAAATGCAAGGAGGGAGGGGAGAACCATATGATAAGCTACTTTGGGTCCCCACTGTGGAGAAAAGAAGAAGAAAGAGATTGGATTTATACCCCGCCCTTCAATACCCGAAGGAGTCTCAGAGCGGCTTGCAAACTCCTTTCCCTTCCCCTCCCCACAACAGACACCCTGTGAAGTAGGTGGGGCTGAGAGAGCTCTGAGAGAAACTGCTCTTTTTCAAGAACATCTCTAACAGAACGATGGCTTGCCCAAGGTCATGCAGCAGCTGTGGGTGGAAGAGTGGGGAATCAAACCTGGTTCTCCCAGATTAGAGTTTGCGCACTTAACCACTACACCAAAAGGAGGGCATAAAAACAAGTAATAATTTCTTTTCCATCCTGGAGTTCTGTAGCATCCCCATAACTTTGCTTTGCCCCCCTAAGTGTCTTTTAAACGCCCTCTCCTCGAGAAAGTTTCAGGAACACAAACGTGACAGGTATCAAAGGGAAGTCACATTTCCAGCCCCATAGAGCAGGTTTTTAAAAGGGTGCCCCTGACTGTTCCCTGGAAGGCCAGATAATGAAACTGAGGCTCAAATACTTTGGCCACCCAATGAGAAGGGAGCACTCACTGGAGAAGACCCTGGTGCTGGGAAAGATTGAAGGTCAAAGGAGACGGGGACGGCAAAGGATGAGATGGTTAGACAGTGTCATAGATGCAACGAACATGAAATTGAGCAAACTTCAGAGGACGGCGGAAGACAGGAGGGCCTGGCATGATCTTGTCCATGGGGTCGCAAAGAGTCGGACTCAACTGTGCGACTGAACAACAACAAACCCCGGTAATCTCCCAACGGTTGCCACTCTGCGGTGGCCAGCAACCCTCGTGACCGGACAGACTTGGCACTGCTCCCAGCAGCATCAGCAGCTCCCCTCAAACGGTGGCACGTGAGCCCAAGTCAAATCAGTTACGCTTCCCCAGTGGGGTAAATAGTGACTCCCTGGGATCATCTCAGGTTGTGAGAACGGCCCAGCGGGGAAGGCGTAATCCCCCTCAACCGGCATGTTGTGGTCCCAATCCGATCAGGGGCTCCATACGCATGAGAGTCAAGCTCTGTGACTGGTTTGATGGGACCTGGGGTGGACCGGAAACAGTGGAATGTAGAGTCAGGTTCTAGGACTGCTGAAGGAATGGCCGCTACTGAGATGCATGTGTCATCCCGACAGAGCAAAGACCTAGATGTGAGTCCAGCAGCCCCTTAGAGAGCGGCAAGATTTTCAGAATATAAGCTTTCGAGACTCAGAGCTCTCTTTTGTCAGATACCAACGAAGGTCTCTGACGAAAGGAGCTCGGACTCTCGAAAGCTTACATTCTGAAAATCTTGTCACTCTCTAAGCTGCTGCTGGGCTTGAAACTAGGGGTGATTCTGCATCTAACATTTGCTCCACATTTTCTCAACTCAGAGGGAAAAGTGCAGGTCAAAACGACATTCAAATCCCTCGGGGCAATGCCGTACTGATAGCAAAGTTACGCCGAACGGCCATAAAATGACCATAAATCTATGCAGAAGGTACCATAAAATGTGGTGATTAAAGGAAGCAAAAGCGGCATGGAGTGTGGAGGAAGCGAAAGGAGCATGGAGTGTGGAGGCTACCATAAAATCTGATGCTCAAAGGAAGCGAAAGGCGCGTGGAGTGTGGAGGCTACCATAAAATCCAATGGTCAAAGGAAGCGAAAGCTGCATGCAATGCAGAGGGGAATCTCCATTCCAACGTGGGTTTCGTAAAAGAATGGAGGAAAAAGCCAGTGCAGAATTAGCCTTGCTTTTCTGCCGCCAACCAACATGGCTCCCTTCCTGAAACTGCCTCATACGCCAAAGGCTCTGATGTTCCTGCCTTTTTCCTCGAGGAAGCGAACAGCGTCTCCGTCAGCGAAGACGTCTTTGCACAAGGTAGGTCTGACAGTGGAGCTGTGCATTCAAATCGAGTGCGGCTCAGCATACGCATATCCACTTCCACTCAAGCGCGGACATATTTGGAAACATATTCAGCCAGTAAACAAGAGCGCGAGGGGTTGTGTCACATACCTGGGTCTTTCGCTTCTTCGGGGTCCTTCTTGGCTTCCTGCATTCTCTCATCAGACATATCAAAGACTGCAGAGATTAGAAATCAGTCAGGGAAACCATCATTTCTGTTCACAAAAAGTAGGGGAAAATGCTGGCTACGTTTGTAACGCATTATTTTTTACCAGGACTGTCGATTCCTTTGCCGTTTGCTTCTGTGGCGTTCGCCTGGACTTCCTCTGGCGTTCCGGTCATGGGATTTGAAATAAATTTGAAATCGTCGTTCGGAGGCTGAAATAAATAAATACATACATACAGATTTTACTGAAGAGCGTAACAAACCGCCCTGTTGGGACAGACAGAGGGTCCATCTAGCCCAGAGGGTCCATCAGTCACCAATCAGATGACTCCAGGAAACAAACTAGTGGGGTGTGAAGGCATCAACAGCACTCCCTAGTACCTAGTTTTCAGATAAGGTTGCGGCCAGGGCTCTTTTTGTAGAAAAAGCCCAGCAGGAACCCATTAGCATAATAGGCCACACCCAACAGTGGAAACTCATTAGCATATTAGCCACATCCCAACAGCACAGTTCATTAGCATATTAGGCCACACCCCATGTCTTCCCTTGACTTGCCCAGGTGCCCCACGGCTGTGGGATGCCTGGCAAGCCGGCCCTTAAATGCCTCCCCGATCCTTCCAGCCCCCCCCCGGCCCACCCGCTTCAGAGTCGCTGGGGGGGGTCGCTCTCCAGGCCTTCCCTCTGTAGCCAGGCACGCAGAGGCTTTAGCTGTAGTGGGCGTGGCCAACTCTGAAGCCAGCCGGAACTCCATTCCTGTGCGTTCCTGCCCAAAAATAGCCCTGGGGTTGCCAGGTCCCCCCTGGACACTGGAAAGGAGTACAGTTGCCAACTCCAGGTTGGGATTATCCTGGAGATTTGGGGATGGAGCCTGGGGAGGACAGAGCCCATAGAGTCCATCCTCTAAAGCAGCCATTTTCTCCAGGGAAACTGATCTTTGTAGCCTGGAGATGAGCTGTAATTTTGGGGGACCCCCGGGCCCACACAGCATCCCTGTTTTCAGAGACAGACTGTTTCTGGGAGTTCTGTTTAGCTATCATGGGCCTGTGGCTGTTGACCAAGCCATCCTCAATAAAATTATTTAATACTTCTTTTAAAAAGCCGTCTAGGGTACGGACTGCTACTGTTCTTGGGGCACCAATCCCTGCTCCTGTTTCCTACTTTATACTTGCAAAGTAAGACATCAGAATGTGAAAAAACCCAGTCTGGCTGGAATTCTTAGATCCCCTGCAATCTCCAACGCAACCAGATCTGAAAGTCCCATGCTATATTTCCAGCAGTGTCAGGGGGAGACAGAATATGTTTTGGAATGGATAACCAAGCTGATCAATTTTTGAGAATACTAAATGAGGCCCATTTGATACCATTATAAATTTACTTTGTGAAATCAACTAGGCTTGTGAGCGATGAGAGGTAAGAGATGCCCAGAAAGTTAAAAGATCAATGAACTGTTTGCTCAGGATATGAAGCTGCAGGGGCTCTATATCTTTCTGCAAGCAGTAGATAGTTTGGGCCAACATGGGCATTTTATGGTGTTCTCCAACACCCCTCCCCCTTTAGCAAACAAGGAACTTGCTTATGCATCCGGTTTACTGCATAGGCAATTGGTTGCGAAGTAGATTTATACCCCACCCTTCACTACCTGAAGGAGTTTCAGAGCAACTTACAATCTCCTTTCCCTTCCCCTCCCCACAACAGACACCCTGTGCAATGTTCCCTCTAAGCTGTGGAGTTTTGTGAGCAAAAATTCTACTTTGTGAGCTAGTGGCATTAAAGTTGTGAGTGAACAATTTGGCTACTGCATAAACTAGTTTGCTCTGGAGCCCTCCTTCCTGAACTGAGACAAAAAGGTGTGAGCCAGAGGCTAAAAAATGGTGAGCTAGCTCACACTAACTCAGCTTAGAGGGAGCACTGCGTGAGGTAGGTGGGACCAGGAGAACTCTTTCGAGAACTGCTCCTGAAAGAACAGCTCTGAAAGGGCTTGTGACTGACCCAAGGTCACACCAGCCTGTGCTCTTTTAAGCAGAGGTGGGGTGCTGTAGTTGACTAATTCCTGCTCTGAGCAAGGGGGGTTGGAGTAGGTGACCTCTAGGATCACTTCGAACTCTGTGTCAAGAAACTGGTCTCCTTTAAGAGAGTTTTTCTGCCCAAGTGTTAGCTTTCTTGACTACAGAAGTCATTAGGGTTGCCAAGTCTCACCTTGTTCCGGAGTGGGGGACTCCCGGGTCGACCATCTGAGGGAAAACCATAGAGTTTTCCCTAGGATGACTGTGGCCCCTCCCCCAGCGTGCCCGGCGTGGTCGCGTCACTTCCTGGTCACTTCCTGGTGACGTGCACGTCGGGGTGGAGTTCCCCCAGGGGCCCGATCCGGCAGCGGCGGGGAATGGGCCTCTGGGGCGGGGGTTCCCCGCCCCCCGGGGGGACTTGGCAAGCCTAGAGGTCATCACCTCCACCTGCCAGCTTGTTATAATTGTTGCCTAGGCTGGCAGAAGTGATTAACTTGCAGCAGCTAAGAACTGTCATCTAAAGTGGCTGACAGTGTGCAGTTTAGAGGTCTATCCGGGTGACAGCTTTCTGTTGGCTAGATGGCTTTTCTTTCTCCACTGAGAACTTCAGCCACACCGGAGGATAAATTTGCCCCACGAGCCACAAAATCCTGGCTGCGGGCCTGAGATCAGTTGTAACTCTGGGAGATCTCCAGGCCCCACCTGGAGGTTCGTAACCTACCCAGGACTCTGTACGGCTCTGGGCGTTGCTGGACTAAGCTGAATATCCACTGAATCCAGCATCACATTTCCAACAGTGGGCAACAGGAATTCCCCCGGCCAGCCCACAAGCTAAGACACCGCCCTCCCCTAAGAATATGAGAAGCGCAAACCCACTGTTGTCTCCTCCATGTGCAGATTCTGGATGAGATGAGCGTAGCGCCCTTTGGCTTCCATCAGCTCCGTGTGGGTGCCGCTCTCATGTATTTCTCCATCCTCCAGCAATATGATTTCATCACAAAACTCTAGATACTGAAGATTTGGGGGGGGGGGGTTTAAAGAAGGAAAGAGAACAGAATCAGTATGGCAAACAAAGATGCACTCACCCAGAACATTCAAAACCAGTGGCTTGGATCGAGGGTTGCTAGCCTGCAACCCACAGGAAACTTATTAACCCAAAGGCGCCCTTCCCTGGTGGTGTCGTGACCAATGCTCCCTCTAAGCGGTGGAGTCTTGGGAGCAAAAATTCTCCTTTGTGAGCTACTGGCATTAAAGTGTTGAGCGAGCGATTTGGCTGCTGCATAAGTTAGTTTGCTCCAGTGAGCAAAAATTCTACTTTGTGAGCTACTGGCATTAAAGGGGTGAGCGAGCGATTGGGCTGCTGCATAAGTTAGTTTGCTCTGGAGCTGCCCCTTCCTGAGCGGAGACAAAACTGGGGGAGCCGGAGGCTAAAAAACTGTGAGGTGGCTCACACTAACTCAGCTTAGAGGGAACATTGGCCGTGACATCACTTCTGGTGCGACCTGGAAGTGATGTCATTGCATGGGGGCAACACTTGAGCATAAGGACGAATGCTGGAGCGTTGACATGACTTCCGGGTCACACCAGAAGTGGGGGTGACACCACCGCTTCCCGGTGACAGTGATTTCGCCCCCAATTTTTCGACTGCTGGCCAGGGGTGTAGCCAGAAAATTTTGGGTGGTGGAGGGTTGGGAAATCTGGGGGGGAGGAGAGAGATAGAGAGATATCCCATTGGCAGGCAGGTGAAGAAGAGAAGGGTCTTTCCTTACCTGCCGGCACAACTCCCACAGTGGGAACTGTGGGGCGTGGACCATGAGTGAGGGGGCACCGCCCCTAAATGTCCTACTGTGGCTATAGGCCTGAATGCCATAGAGTCTACCCTCCAAAGCCACCATTTTCTCCAGGGGAACTGATCTATGTCATCTGGAGATGAGTCGTAATTATGGGAGATCTCCGGGTGCCACCTGAAGATTGGTTGCCAGTTCCAGGTTGGGAAATTCCTGGAGATTTGGGGATGCAGCCTGGAGAAGGTGGGGTCTGAGGAAGTGCAGGACCTTAGTGGGCTATAATGCCACAGAGTCCGCCCTGCAAAGCAGCCGTTTTCTCCGGGGGAGCTGATCTCTTTCATCTAGAGATCAGTTATGATTCCGGGAATTATCCACACCCTGTCTGGACAGTGCTGGCCCACTGAGCAGCAGCAGCGGGGAAGTGAGCTGCCGGCATGAGGTCTCCTGCCATGCCAGAAGATCTGGCATTCGTACGTCGGCTCCAGCGATGGTCAAGCAGAAACAGAAACAGACTTAAAACCATTCCGCTTCTTATGTGCGGCATCTAGGGCTTCCCTCCCTCGATATTATGGTACCCACAAAACAGTTACATGAGAGCCTTTCCAAGTGGAAATGTAAGCGGGGATACAGTAAGATAGACTTCGTGCAAACAGCTACTGCAGCCTTGCTCTCGCTTTTCCGATTATGCAAGAACTCTAGCACAAGTGGGAATATTGTGCTAGATTAAGCCCTGTTTATTTGTTTAGAACATTTTATGAGCTGCCTTTCTACCTTACAGCCAGTCTGGGAGCCAGTCTGGTGTAGTGGTTAAGTAAGTAAAGGTAAAGGTTCCCTTGCTCAAAAGCCAGTCAAATCCGACTCTAGGGTTGCAGTGCTCATCTCCGTTTCAAAGCCGAAGAGCCAGCGCTGTCCGAAGACGTTTCCGTGGTCATGTGGCCGGCATGACTAAACACCAAGGTGCACAGAACGCTGTTACCTTCCCACCAAAGTGGTCCCTATTTATCTACTTGCAATTTCTTGCTTTCAAACTGCTAGGTTGGCAGGAGCTGGAACTAGAGAAGGGAGCTCACTCCGTCATGCGGCACCCGGGTCTCGAACTGCTGAACTACCGAACTTCCACAGACTGCAGTTCAGCATCTTAGTGATTAAGTACACAGACTCTAATCGGGGAGAACCGGGTTTCATTCCCCACTCCTCCACTTGCACCTGCTGGATGACCTTGGGAAAGCCATCGTTCTGATAAGAGCTGTTCTTGAAAAAGAGCAGTTTCTGTCAGAGCTCTCTCAGCCCCACCCACCTCACAGGGTGTCTGTTGTGGGGAGGGAAAGGGAAAGGAGTTTGAGAGCCGCTCTGAGACCCCTTTGGGTAGTGAAGGGCAGAGTATAAATCCAATCTCTTCTCTTCTTACAGGTACAATGCAATTGTAATAGGGTCCCCTGCTGCCAGGCCCCACCCACAATCAGCTGGCCAGTGGGGGGACTTACCAGGAGAGAGAGGAAGGCCCAGGAGACATTGCTGGCAACATGGCGACATCATTTCCTGTGTGCACAGGAAGTGACATCATGATGTTAGCAATGTCGGGGGCAATACTCTGGTATTTGAGCAAAAACTCTATGGTAGAAGCCATTTTTATGATAGAGCTTTTGCCCAAATACCAGAGCGGCACTGCAACACCGCAGCATGATGACATCACTTCTGGCGCATGCCAGAAATGACCTAGCCATGTCGCTGGCGATGTCACCTGGGCCTCCCTCCTGCTCCTGGTGAGTCCCCCACACCCTGCACTGGTTGCCTTCGTGGGTTATAATGCCATACAGTCCACCTTCCAAAGCAGCCCTTTCATCCAGGGGAACGGATCTCTGTAACCTGGAGACCAATGTTCCCTCTTAGGTGTGGAGTCTTGTAAGCAAAAATTCTACCTTGTGAGCTCCTGGCATTAAAGTTGTGAGCGAGCAATTTGGCTGCTGCATCAATTAGTGTGCTCTGGAGCCATCCTTCCTGAGCGGAGGCAAAAATGTGTGAGCCGGAAGCTAAAAAACTGTGAGCTAGCTCACACTAACTCAGCTTAGAGGGAACACTGTGGAGACCTGTTGCAGGTCTAGGCCACCCGGAGACTGGCAACCCTATTTTGACTTGCACATACAGACAACCCAACTCTCAGCATCTATTCCAATCGAAAGCGCCCGTTTCTCGGCTTCTGTTTTACGTTTCTGAGCTGTGACTCTTCCGCCACCAGCTGGCTGAGTGCCGTGATACTTCTCGCTCCGGAAAAAAAAAGAGAGGCACAAATAACAAAAGACAAAGCAAAGAGAGAGCCGCTCAGACAAACCCAAACGTATCCTCACGGAGTCTTGCCCTGAGGGGTAATGAATCTCCAAAAGCAGAACTGCAGAGCCAAACATTTCTTCCCCTAAAAACCACAAGTTTCAAATGCAGAAGGGGAGCGCTGATTTTTTTTTTTTTTAATTTATAAATTCGGTTTATAGCCCGCCCTCCCCGCAGCGCAGGCTCAGGGCGGCTCACAATCAGGCACAAGCAGGATTGCCAGTCTCCAGGCGGGGCCTGGAGATCTCCTGCTTTTACAACTGATCTCCAGCTGACAGAGATCAGCTCCCCTGGAGAAAATGGCTGCTTTGAAGGGTGGACTCTGAGGCATTGGGCCATGCTGAAGCCCCTCCCCTCCCCAATCCCCGCCCTCTCCTGGATCCACCCCCAAAGTCTCCAGGTATTTTCCAACCCAGACTTGGCAACCATAGGCACAAGCCTCACATAAAACAATTAAAAACATTTAAAATCAATCAACAGTTGGGAGTTGGGAGATTCCTGGGGGTTTGGGGGTGGAGCCTGGGGAGGGGGGGGCGTAGGCAGGGGAGAGGTTGCAGTGGAGTAGAATGCCATAGGGTCCACCTTCCAAAGAGCCATTTTCTCCAGGGAAACTGAACTCTGTGGTCTGGAGATCATTTGTAATTTTGGGAGATATCTGGGCTTCAGCTGGAGGATGGCAACTCGAGCCCTGCTTTGGTCCAAAGGAAAGTCTATGCACAAAAGCCTTAAGATCATGGCCAGCGTGGTGTAGTGGTTAAGAGCGGTGGACTCTAATCTGGAGTACCAGGTCTGATTCCCCGCTCCTCCCCCCCCCCCATGAAGTCTGTTGGGTGACCTTGGGCAAGTCCCAGTTCTCTCCGAACTCTCTCAGCCCCACCTACCTTACGGGCAGTGTTCCCTCTAAGATGAGTTAGTGTGAGCTAGCTCACAGTTTTTTAGCCTCCGGCTCACACATTTTCGCCTTCGCTCAGGAAGGAGGGCTCCAGAGCAAACTCATTGATGCAGCAGCCAAATGGCTCGCTCGCAACTTTAATGCCAGGAAGCTCACAAAGTAGAATTTTGGCTCACAAGACTCCACACCTTAGGGGCAGCACTGCTCACAGGGTGCCTGTTGTGGGGAGATGAAGGGAAAGACGATTGCAAGCCGCTCTGAGACTCCTTTGGGTAGAGAAAAACAGAGTATAAAAACCTACTCTTCTTCTTCTTCTTGACGGCATGATAGATCTTTTTCTCCCCCTCACCTTCCCTTTTAAAACCAACAGACTGATGAAATGTTTGGAGAACGCGAAAGCTCTCACCCACTGTTTTGGGTGTCATTTCTGGCTGGATCAAATCAAAGATACTATGTGGCTTTCATTTTTTAATTTCCCAAACAGGTGACAGATGTATCTACTTGTGAAGGCTTTTTTCTTTCTGTCGTTGCCCTTCGTCTCAGAACAGCGCGGTGGCTCAGAGGTTAAGATGCTGAGCTGCAGACCGGAAGGTCTGTAGTTTGGCAGTTTGAGACCCGAGTGCCGTGTGACGGAGTGAGCTCCCGTCTCTGGCCCCAGCTCCTGCCAACCGAGCAGTTCGAAAGCAAGAAATTGCGAGTAGATAAATAAATACCGCTTTGGTGGGAAGGTAACAGTGTTCCGTGCGCCTCGGCGTTCAGTCACGCCAGCCACATGACCACGAAAACATCTTCGGACAGCGCTGACTCTTTGGTTTGGAAATGGAGATGAGCACCGCCACCTAGAGTTGGATTTGATTGGCTTTCAAGCAAGGGAAACCTTTACCTCTACTTATCCTAAAAAGGACCCCAAGAGGGAAATTTGTTCCAAGTTCCTATGATGTCAAGCTGCCAGCCTCCAGGTGGTGCCTGGAGATCTCCAAGAATAAGAATAAGAATCTTTCAATTTATTGATCGCTCAATCCTTGCAGAGCTGCCGGCTCTGAGTGATTTACAGTTGTTCAGGGTGGTGAAAACCAGTGAGGATTGTGAGGCACTCCAAAAGGATCTGTCAAGGATGGGCAAGTGGGCGTCAATGTGGCAAATGGGGTTCAATGTAGCCAAGTGCAAGGTGATACACATTGGAGCCAAAACCCCTAAATATAAATACACGTTGATGGGGTCTGAACTGGCAGAGACTGATCAAGAGAGAGATCTTGGAGTCGTAGTAGATAACTCACTGAAAATGTCGAGACAGTGTGTGACTGCAATAAAGAAGGCCAATGCTATGCTGGGGATTATTAGGAAGGGTATTGAAAACAGATCAGCCAATATAATAATGCCCCTATATAAATCAATGGTGAGACCTCATTTGGAATACTGTGTGCAATTCTGGTCACCACACCTTAAAAAGGATATTATAGCTTTGGAAAAAGTGCAGAAAAGGGCAACTCAAAAGATAAAAGGGTTGGAACACTTTCCCTATGAGGAAAGGTTAAAGCACTTAGGGCTCTTTAGCTTGGAGAAAAGACGACTGAGGGGTGACATGATCGAGGTTTATAAGATTATGCATGGGAAAGAGCAGGTAAAGAAAGAGGTACTTTTCTCCCTTTCTCACAATACAAGAACTCGTGGGCACTCCATGAAACTGCAGAGCGGTCGGGTTAGAACGGATAAAAGGAAGTACTTCTTCACCCAAAGAGTGATTAACACATGGAATTCACTGCCACAGGAAGTGGTGGCGGCTACAAGCATGGACGGCTTCAAAAGGGAATTAGATAAGCATATGGAGCAGAGGTCCATCAGTGGCTATTAGCCACAAGGTATAGCTAGGGGCTCTGGGGCAAGTGATGCTCTGTCTTCTTGATGCTTGGGGGAGGGGTCAACAGTGGGAGGGCTTCTAATGTCCTGGCCCCACTGGTGGACCTCCTGATGGCACTGGTATTTCTGGCCACTGTGTGATACAGAGTGTTGGACTGGATGGGCCTTTGGCCTGATCCAACATTGGCATCTCTTATGTTCTTATGTTCTTATGTACAGTTACTCATGAATTCACACGGGACTAACAATGATAAGGGTAAGGGAGGACAACATATATCTTTTTAATTCACACACATTTTCGCAGTCGATGGGGAGTTTGGTCAGCTGTAAGTTTTAGACGTGTTCCAGCAACATTCTCACTCAGTGTCGCTTGATGTCGTCAGCATTTTTCTCAGTTGCAGCGCAGCACTGCCACCGTCTGGCCGGAATGGCCCATTACAGGCTACTTTTTTGATGCCACGTCGATCTCTCTCGGCTTTTGATCTTACGCGCGGACCTTCCGCTCGTCGGCTAACACCACCCCCACCAGGGGTTTAGTGTGCCCACTCTCTCTAAGGAGTGGTACCCATTTTATCTACTCGCCGAAGCTTTCGAACCGCTGGGTGGACGGCTAGCTGGGGACAAGGCTGGTTGCTCACACCAGCGTGGGGCTAGAACTGACAGCAGTCCTGTTCAGCTCAGATGTTTAACCAGAGGATAAATCCCCTGTGCCACTCATCTCCAGACTACAGAGATCAGTTCCCCTGGAGAAAGTGGCTGTTGGGGAGGTGGGATCTACAGCATTATACGCTGCTGAACTCCATCCCTTCCCCCAAACGCCCCTGTTCCCAGGCTCCACCCTCAAATCTCCAGGAATTTCCCATCCTGGCCTTGACAGCCATGCCATCAGGGCTCTCGGCAATCTGCCACGAGAAAGAGCACACGTCACCCGAAGAACACGAAACCAAATGTCAGGAGGGAGGGCTCAACGAGGGCCCTCCTGACGTCCAAAGAGTACAACGCCAGTCAAGCGGCAACCCCTTTGTGGCTTTAAAGAAGGACCTGGGATCCTGCCGGAAAGACCCGCCAGGGGAGCAGTGTTCCCTCTAAGCTGAGTCAGTGTGAGCTAGCTCGCCGTTCTTTAGCCTCCGGCTCACACATTTTTTGTCTTCGCTCAGGAAGGATGGCTCCAGAGCAAACTAATTGATGCAGCAGCCAAATCACTCACTCACCACTTTAATGCCAGTCGCTTACAAAGTAGAAATTTTTGCTCACAAGACTTCACAGCTTAGAGGGAACATTGCAGACAGGCCCAGCCGTCAAGGGAGGTGGAAGGGTTGCCAAGTGTGAATTTAGCAGCAGCGGGGGAGAGTTTTCCCTCGGATGACCGTGGCCCAGCCCCCAGAGTGCCCGGCATGGTTGCGTCACTTCCGGGTGACGTGCACATCGGGGTGGAGTTCCCCCTGGGGCCCGATCCGGCGGCGGTGAGGAACGGGCCTCTGGGGCGGGGGTTTCCCCGGGGGGGAGGGACTTGGCAAGCCTAGCTGTGGTAGGGAATGGCACGAGCGGCAAGGAGCTGACCACGAGGTGGAAGGGTGGGGCAAGTTCACCCGGGGGTAGGAAGACAGAGGTAACCTGGGCATGGCTCCGTACCTTTAAGGCCTGGACGGGGAGGGACCCAGGGAACTGAGGAGGAAATAAATGCTGCCGCACATGGAAGCCAGGGAGGAAGTACGGAGCCTGAAGCAGAACGGCAGACTGAGGGAGCCAAGAGCTGTTGCACCCATCCACTCAAAACTGCTAGCTCAGGGGAAGCCAGGGAGGAGGGTGCGAGAAACCAGTCCCTCTGATTTCTGAGGTGTAGTGTATGCTGACCTCCACCGGGGGGCCAGTGACAGCCAGAGCTTGGCTCTGGAAGAACAATAGGGACTAGGCTCCTAGTCCCTCCACTGGGGAACCAATGGGAACCGTGGCGGGAGATTCAAACCCACCAATGGTGACCAGGGGTGTGTTCCCAGGTATGTATATAGTTGGCCTGCCGGCCGTTTGTTCCTTGTTCTTGTTGTGTACCAAATAAAGCATGCCATGCACCACGTCGTCGGTCGTTTATCCATGCGGCAACCCACTACATAACATGAGGCAACCAGCCAAGCGTCTTTCCTTGCCCTGGACACTACTTCCCGTCCAGACGAGGCCCCTCCTGACACCAAATTATCTTTGTTTTTTCATTACCTGCAGCTGATGAGTCACCAACAGCACTGTTCTCCCTTGCAGGGCTTCTTTGATGCATTTTTCAAAAATGTTTTTCCCGACGTGTGCGTCCACGGCGGACAAAGGGTCATCCAGCAGGTAGATATCTCTGTTGGCGTACACGGCGCGAGCTAAGCTGATGCGCTGCTTCTGACCTCCGGAAAGGTTAAGCCCCCTTTCGCCGATCTGTAAAACGGCAGAATTGTGAAATGAGTGCCTTTTTGTTGTTGTTGTTCAGTCGCACTGTCGAGTCCGACTCTTCGCGACCCCATGGATCAGATCACGCCAGGCCTTCCTGTCTTCCGCCGTCCTCTGAAGTTGGCTCAATTTCATGTTCGTGAGTGCCTACGTGGTAATAATTCTGTAGAAGAAGAAGAAGAAGAAGAAGAAGAAGAAGAAGAAGAAGAAGAAGAAGAAGAAGAAGAAGAAGAAGAAGAAGAAGAAGAAGAAGAAGAA